TTATCATACACATAGTTATCATACTTTTTTATTTTTATTTCAATTGTAATTTTCGATCATTTTTCGCAGTCAATCATACTTCATTGCAGAGGAATGAATTATATCGCGGTTTTTCTAAATTGCACATACTAAGAATATATGGATCTCTAACGAGAATATTTCAATATTTAATTTAGCTATTTAAATTTAATTAATTTCGGCACAAGAAAAATCTATCAAGCGATTTTAAAACGCAGCTCTTTCGAATGTCGATATAGGTTCCGCGATGCCAATTTCGCGAAACGTGATAAATTATTACGTCGGCCAGCAATATGTCATACTGCCAGGTAGTTTAACGTCTCGTGGTGGACGTAATACATTTTTCTCCATTTTTCGATGTGTGTCGACCGTCTATATCGCCTGTCGTTAACCCGCTATGCAGACATCGCTTTTCCATTCGACGCAAACTTGTATGAATCGCTCGCAATCCGTTGATCGTTACAACTCGCATCGCATGAAAAAGTCGGAGTTACAACTTTCACGCAAAAGTCGGTCGAAAAAACGACACTACCGAATGAGGAAGACGTTCATGGATCGCGCAAAAACTTTCGACACGTTTGCTTGGCCTCCTTCTACCGCGCGCCAATTTGTATCCTTCGTATGGATAACGGTCTGCCATTCGTTTCTGATTGTATACAGACTGGTGCACTTAGCGTTATCGTCTGTAGCAGCGTTGAATTTTTTTGTTTTTTTTTTTGGAACAAGTCCATTTCGCGTTCGCCGTCTCGTGTTCATCACGCAGAGTTTTTAATTTTGTCGGGTTATATTTTGTCAGCAACTAGGTATAATTATTTTTTAAATTGCTTTACACAAACGCGCGTTAGACGCGTTTGAAAATGTGATAATTTAGCAATTGTTACGAGCCATATATATTTTTTTCATATATTGTTCTTTTCTATTTTTTCACATTGATAAGAATGAAGATGGAAAAATATTTCTTGCCACAATATAATGCTGATATTCTCTTTCTTTTCTTTTCTTTAATTGCACGTAGAACATAGTATACCTTATAAAAAACTATGTTTATTCCATGAGAAAGAAATGGATACTGTTGACGTCACAGAGTCGAGATACTTTGTTGTTTGTTTATTTAGTAACTTATCCGAACTTATTCTTATACACAAGCTCGAAAACGGAAAACAGAAGTATCACGTTAGCGTTTCTCAGTCATTATTATTATCGCTTTCGAATTATACGGAAGGATCGATCTAGTTTTACAAAAGGTATTTCAATCATCTCGACGTTGATCATACATATGATCTAAGATCACGTAGCTTGTTTTCCGAAGGTACATTGAACGTGCGAGGGAAAGGATAATTAATTCGCTGCTTGATCCGGATTGATGGATGCGGCGGCTCATTATTGGTTCCATTATATCCGCTTTCTCAAACCGCGTCCGATCATTGTTGGACAAGGTATTCGATCGACCTGTCCTTTTATCGTATAACGAAATCGACCATTTGTTATATAGTATATCGTTATCACTAATCGGGGCTGTATACACGCTGGTCGCACACATATACTTATTGCTAGTTGAATTGGTATCTCCGGGGCTTTTGGTCAAATGTTAATGAAGGCAGGCCTCCATGGTACCTATTGTTACGTAAATGGTCACGTGAGAATTATCTAAACTTCAGATAATATTTGTGTATGTATGTAATGTTTGCGTATTGACTATAAATTGTCTTTATAATATAATAATATATAAAAAGTGGAATATATGTGAATATTTGCACTATATATTTTGAATAAACGAGCCCGAAAAAGGAGCTTTTGAAAATTTTAAGTAACTAAATATTATAAAAGAATTGAATGTAATGATTAATTCTATTTTAATCGATTATATTTTTTTACTATTTTTGTAGTTACTTACGAGATTGATGAAATGTTTCGGAACTTTTATAAAATTCTTAGTTTCTTAATAACAATAAGAAGAAAAAGAATAAAGCAGACATATATAAAAACAAATTTTTATAAATTGTATATATTTTACCAAAGAATACAAAAAATAATATATTATTTGTTTAATAATACATTTTTGTTATTAAATAACTTTGCGCGAGTCTTTTTCTCTTTTAAAATTACATATAATAAAAGAAAATTTCTTTTTGTTTATTGTACATATATAGTTGTCTCTACTTTCCTTGGAAGTTTCGATAGAATACATTTTAGAACGTGTTTGAACGGTCTTTGTCGCGCCTTAGTTTAAGAAGAGGGGCATCAGAGCGCGAGAAGTTACCCTAATACGACGAAGTAGTCCTTCGAGGCATACGGTTATGCTGATAATAGCGAGGTAGGCGAGGTAGGTCAGCAAAGAAGCGATAAAACTTCCTCGAGAGCTTCTCTTCTTCTCTGCCTTTTTGTGACACAACAATGTCGTTCAAGCCTCCTTTATGGGCGACTACGCTCCTCGTCACGGGTAGTAAATGACTTGATCCACCAGCCGACCGGTTACATCTTACGATGTGACTCGCTTCAGGAAAGTTGACGTCGATCAAGTATTATAAAGAATCGACAGGCGACATCCGCGGCACATTCGAGGCAAAGATATGGCTTCCCGTCGCGCGTTTGCTCTCGTTAATATACTTTAAAAATATGGGTGATACGTAAAACACGCCAAGTCGCCGCAACAAGTTTTCCTTGCGTGATACGCGAGTGAACAGTTCGCTCTTGCATCGACCCTTCCTTTGTAGAACAATCGCGCGCGATCTCGTAATTAACTAGTGCCCTGCTTAATGCATTTGACAGCAAATAATTTGATTTGTTATTCCTTTATGATGTTTGTATCGAGCAAACCAAATTTAATACCGATGCATTATATTAATTTAGTACAAATCGCGCTTACGAATTTTATCTACGAGAATTTTTGATACTCATTTTTGTAATGATTTAAAGAACGTTCATTTTCTGTGGCGTTTTCAAATTTTTTAAGCGCTTCTGCTTCTCGTAGTAATAATTTAGATAATTCATTATTTGATTTATACTTTATAACGTGACATTAAGCTATCATACAATCATGTATTATGAGAATATCTAAATTGATTTCTAAATTAAAAAATAAACATTACAAAAATAAATTAAAAATAATATATCCAAGAATAGGAACGGACAACTAAATAATTTTAGCGCGAGAATTAACTGTGGTCGATAACTGTGGTTACGTGAAATCGATAGATGGAAGAGAAAATGTCAGTCGCAAATTCACGACAGGAATGTCAATAAACAAATAATCCGTAAGCGGATACGGCAGAGTTACGATTTTATTTTACGATAGAATATTTCATTCCTCTCGGCTCCGTAACTGCCTGTAATTTTCCCGAATAATCCATTTTACGATCAAAACCTGCATTATAACGATGCATTATTACGATCAAAAGTTGCAAACACTCGCGTATTATCCGTATTCTAATTTCTTAACGACACGGAATCGAGCGTGAAAAGCGGGCTAATTGCGAAGTCGTTTTGGTTCTTATTCCAAGTGAGATTTATATTCGCTCGTAAAAGAGCGTTCCTCTGGAATCTAGCTTTTTTGCCGATACTATCTTTTTTCATTTCACGCAAAATGCGTCGTAAAACTTGTAACTATTGATCGTCTATCATCGTTCGCGAGCGATGTCGTCTTGTCATATTTTATGGAATATTTGTATATCTTTTCTCGATTACTTTTTTAGATTATTTTTAAGTAACGCCTTGTTGTAAGCCTCTCAGTACACTATCAAACTGTGAAACTCGCATAGAAAGTGAAATTTGTATTCCTTCATGAAATTGCTTTTTTGAATTTATTTTACATTTATTTTTTGCTCTCCCTCGAAATTTTACACTGAACGGTCATTTTTCAAATTATCGTCGGTGAAAGGTTTTGCCAAAGAAATTTTCCATTTATTTATGTGAATCATTTTTGTTGATTTTTTTACAGTCTTTCGAATAGTTTGTTATTTTTACGTGATATTTAATTTAACAGCGTGATGGTGTATATTTAGTGTTCATTTTTTATTAAAAATAAAACTTTATTTTTGATTCGAAAAAATTTTGCTAGATTTAAAGGGAGTTTTTTGTAATAATAAATATATGGTTCTTTCTCTTTATCTTCCCTCCTCGATATATTAAATATCTTGACAGTTTTACTAATATGTCAGTATACTAATATGTCAGTAAAACTGACATATGTACAGAATGTTAAAAAAAAAAAAAAACATTCAATATTTATATGGTAGACAGAACACATCATATTGAGTAAAAAAACCTTAGTAAACATAGATCAAAAGCTCAATCGTTTCTGAAATATAAACATTGTTGTATGTTAACATCATAATTGACTTACTGGCTTCTATGTGTCGCATGCAATGTTTACCTCAGTGTTTATAAATCGCGTTTTGAATGTCTTCATTCAATTTCTATACGTACTTCATAACAGAAGATTTCACCGGCAATCAGTTAGTTGTCATCAACCGGCGATTGCGGATCTTTGCGATTTGGCGATTACACAGTTATAAACTATCGTGCTAAAAATGTCAGTGTATTACTTTAGTGAAAAAATAGCAGATATGCATTTTATGTATGGTCGTCGAAGACAGATTATCTTCTTCCCACGTCGCATGCGACACGTAGAAGCCAGTAAGTCATTTATGATGCTACATATAAAAATGTTTATATCTCAGAAACAGTTGAGTGGTGGTGTATCCTATTTACCATATAAATATTGAATTAAATTTTTTTTGAACACCCTGCATATATATGTAGAAACGAGAAAATTTTAATAAAACAAAATTTTTTAATTACTGCTGATTTTTTTTCCTACTTTGGGTACTTAAGGAACTGCCGCGAAATCATCCTGCTTTATCATGGTCAAAATATTCTTTAATGTTACAATGTAAAATCGCAAGATAATTAGTGCGCGAGATGAATTTTGGCTTTTGCGCAAAAGAGAGACAGAGAGAGAGAGAGAGAGAGAGAGAGAGGGAGAGAGGTCAACAAACCCTGCATTCTCTTTCTCTTGCAATGTTCAACATCACCACGAGGCATGCATTACAAAGGGGCACGTAATTTATTGTTAAAGGGGTGGACAAGGCGTACGATGCTTAGGGATGCTTGGACGAACGACGGTGGGAAAGGCTGGTGGCGATGGTGGTCCAGGTTGGGCGGATTGCTGGCGATGGCGGCAGCCATATCCTGTCTCGTTGCCCCGTTTCCGGGCGCCTCGGCCAGTCAGGACGCGAAGCGTCTCTACGATGACCTGCTGTCGAACTACAACCGCCTCATCCGCCCTGTTGGCAACAACAGCGATCGCCTCACTGTCAAAATGGGACTACGCCTTTCCCAGCTCATCGACGTCGTGAGTAGACCCCACTTAACCCATTATGCCGTCGCATGAATAGCGTTTATACTCTATATGTACAGAGTAGGCTGCATCCCCCTCGTCCCCGATCCGGGGATGCACGCCAAATATGTGGAGCAAGAGTACTTGGTTGTGAAATAGTCCAACGTGTTTCATCGATTGGCTCCAGTTACGAGAAATGATATCCTTTGCGTACGACTGTTTTATTAACAAAGTCAATGAAGCGCAGGTAATATTGATGGTAATGGATTTGAGCGTACAAATTAGGAACATTTTTATTTTCACTTTCTCCCTCTCCTTGTGTTTTTATATTTTTTTCCGCATCACTCGAAATTATATTGTAAAAATATCGCACGCACGGATTGTGTATTTTGAATCGCGTTCTTCACGCGTTATTATCAAAAATATATTTTTTAGTGCATTGTATCTAGAGAGAAGAGGATTTAGAACTTTCAATTTATAACGTCTAATTGCAAGATTATAAGTGATGTATAATCCCCATGTCAAGTTTTGATAAAATATGCATGTGTTGCATTAATTTTCCTAACTCCATTCAATTTATATAATCTGGATTATACCGCGCCACTCAATTTACTCAATATTGATGTATGTGGATGATGCAAATGCGAGACAATATAATGCGCGAAGCTTCTTTGCTCAATTGCTATATACGAAACATTTTGTTATAATTCGAATTAGAAATTTAAGCTATTTATAAAGCATTTAAATTTAAATAATTTAATTTAAATAATTTTTATCATTTTAACTACGCTCATAACGTATATCATAGAAAATAGAATATTTCACAACCATTTACTCTTTGTAATATTTAATATGTATTTTTTCTCTCATTATATATTCCGATTACTACGATAAAGATAAATCATTATGATACAGAACACAGCATATTTTGCAACTAATTGTATCAAATTATATGTGATACAACACGGTTAATAATAGACCACAAGTCAAGTTTTATCAAGATTTTATTTTAAATGTGAGATATATATGAACAATTGATTTTCTCGAAGTCGCAAACACACCATTCTTGCATCTTAATCAAATAATCATCACGTAGTTTTCGTTTACGATGTTTCGCGGTCATTCAAAAAGACATTCAAACGGTTGCAACGTATGGAATATGGATTATGTGCTAGATGTGTGACCGATAACGGGTGTCCACGTACTTGCGGCGATAAGTTGGATTCCGGGAGTTCCTCTGCCGGAAACGGAACTAATTTACAAGCGAAGGGATCCGTGGCACTCGAGCTATTAATTGCCATAATCTGATCGTCAGCAATCAATCGCATCTCGACGAGGAACGCTCGAAACTAAACGTACACGTAGGCGCGCGTGCTACACACACACACATATACGCGCGAGTGCCGATCAATGTGTTAGAATTACGTTGATTGTGTTCCCTCCCCCGCATTGTCTCTCACGGTTATTACATTCGAGTTACATGCCCGCGACTCGATCTGAATTTAGGCAGTAATTGCCTCGATCATGGATCTCCATCGACTAATACGAGCTTCTGTCTAAACCATAATTAATTCGTTTTCGGCTGGGCGCTTACTGTCGTGCATTATTGACGCAGAAATCATCGACTACGAATTCGATGCAAATAATGTTATCGAATCAAAACGTAATAAGCATTTGATTTCAAAAATAGAGATCTGCGTAGAGATCTATTATTGTTGCCGTTTAATAGACCGAATTGATTTCTTTTAAGCTTTTTCCATCATTTAACAGTCATGCTTAAATCGTATTCAAAAGGAATAAACCCGATTTTAATGTCTTATTTTATTACTATTTGAGATAACCGAAATATTTTTTTGACATGATTATTATATTAATTTCTAAAATAAAGATATTTGATATTTGTAAAAAGAACATTTTTGAAGAAAGATGTGACTGTTAAATAATTATTTCATTTATATTTTTATCATATTATACACTTACATTAGATGATCTATAATTTACGATGAAATATATTATTTAGAATTTTCAATTTAGAATTTCACATATTTGTAATTTATACAAATAATAAGTTTCTCTATTTTATCAACGAATTATAAATCGTCTAAAATGGATTTTAATATATATATATACTCTATGCTATTGTTTAATGAAGTAGAACTTTCAACATTTGAATGCTTAAATATGAATGCGTCAACAATTTTAAACGAAAATTTGTATAATTTTGCAGCTCTTGTTGCATGGATGCATTAATTGCTAAATACGAACGGGAAATCATCTAATCGGTTTATAATAGTCGCCCGTCTACAATATGTTTATATATGATTCAGTCGAAATGTGCGGTGCACGTAACTTTTCACTGATTGAAAATCCCGTAGCGGGACGTAAATACTACTTAATTGCTGCGATGGTACGTGCAACGAACTCGCGTTCGTTCTGCAGATATCGTCTATAGAATTTATGAAACAATTGTTGGCTTCGGATTACTAAGGAAGGTAGCGTGAGAAATAACGAACGCGTACTTTCGGTGTCGCGTTATCTAAAGCAATTGCAATATCGGAAGCGCGATCCTCGAGGCTCGATAAGCGACGATTAACATTGGATATCTCGCATGTTTTCGATCTCACGTGCAGCGATACTTGTCGTGCAAAACTGCCAACGCCCACTTTTCACAGCTAGCGGCACGATAAAAGCTGCAAAATTCGATCAATAGTCAGAGGCTAACTGGATTGTTTCTTCACACAAGTGGCCATGCTAGTTTATCGCGAGCGAGAGAAACGAACGAAGTTGTTGGAATGAAGAGAGGAAATTAGAGCTTTTATTTAATTATCACGGTGTCACACTTCGACACTCAAAAGGTATCGACTAAGTGCTTCGAATTTGCATGTTTAAACATACACTTGACATCTTGTACACTTGTCTTCTTATAATTACCGTTGCGATTATTAATTTTCTCATTTAATAGAAAATTATTAATTATTGGTATAAAATTTTAAACTATATTTGATAAAAAATAATCGTGATACAATCGATGACGAGGTGACGTGAAATGAATACAAGTAAATGAAATATATTTTTTATTGAATGTTTATAATGTATAGTTTGAGAAGATGATTTCGAATATAACAGAATGTAATTGTGACTATGTAATTGTGACTCTTTGGAACTAATTTTGAAAATCACTTACAATATTATTTAGTACCGCGCGATGATTTTGTTGGAGCTGACCACAAAAATGCAATAAGAATTGCACAATTTTTATGAGAACACGAATGATAACGCGCATCGCGTAAGAGGGATGCGTGGATTAAATCTGCACATTGTGACTATGTAATTGTGACTATGTAATTGTGACTCTTTGGAACTAATTTTGAAAATCACTTACAATATTATTTAGTACCGCGCGATGATTTTGTTGGAGCTGACCACAAAAATGCAATAAGAATTGCACAATTTTTATGAGAACACGAATGATAACGCGCATCGCGTAAGAGGGATGCGTGGATTAAATCTGCACGAACGACAATGCGGATACGTTAACAGATAATCGGAAGTATAGATCGCTTGGTTCTTGCAACGGAATGATATCCCAGCGGGCTCATAAGAGGACTGATTCCCCGCGCCGTAGCGTTGGACCATTATTTACACGGCCTCCTTTTCAAGAGAATCACCTTCTTGGAATCGCACTTGTTCTCCACGGAACATCCATCCCTCCTCTCTCTCTCTTTCCCGATCCGTTCTTCCGCATCGATTCTACGGGAATTTACGAGCAGCAACACAACAGCAGGCAGTGAGATTGACTTTTACTTCCGCAGGATGGATGCAGCTCGAAATCACGCGCGTGGTTTTCCTTCCCCTTTTCCACCCACTTTCTTTCTCTTTCCTTTATTATCGTGAAAGAATTTTTCCGTTGTTGGCTAAATGTGAATCGCGAAAACTCGAGAGCTTTTATTTGTCAAACGATAAATTGCACCTCGATCAACCCGCATTACGAGCTTTCACAAGTAACGGTTGTTATTAAATCAATACTTTGCACTAAGTATAATCAAAATGACGTTTCTTGTTCACGAGGTTGAATACGTCTTATATTTGTTTGTACAAACATTTTCTCTCTTATTTGTCTTCCTCTTAATTGTTTCTATACAACTTGTCTTCAATTTCTTCTTTTAGTTTTATTTTCTTCCTTTTTTACAATTCTTGTAAACTACAAGTCGCAATATAGATCATTTGTACTGTGTAATGTTATTTATCGAAATTATTTGACGAATAAATGCGCGTACGTTTATGTCGCAAAATGTTACTATATTCCTTGACGCGTGGCCCGTTATTAATTTCGCGATCAACCATAATCGTTTGGGTCGAATTGAAATGTGTCGCGTCAACGATTGCCGAATCTTTGCACCGAAATGGCAAAATTGTCGATCAGCTGTCGTCGGTTACGCGGTCGATTGCATCTGATCTATTTTGATCGACAGGCGGACATTTGAGCGCACACGTTTCGCGACAGATGCATAATCGAAGTGGATGATTGCATCCCAAGAGCTATCGTCACAATTTTTATTTGACAATTGCGGAGTTGTTTATTTGCTGTGCACCGTGAACAAGAAACGCCTTTGGCATTAGCTTTTCGTTTCTTCTAATTAAACCAGACTTGGACGATGTTACGAAACTGGAAACTGGAGCGCACGTCCGCACGTCGTTCGGAAATTCCGCGCGCGTTTTACTCTTTCGAGCGCCAAGTAGCGAGAGGATTTATGATGAGTGGCGATTATCGATTGCACCGCGATCATTATTCCCGTTAGAAGGCGCACTTATCTTCGCCGCGCCTGCGAGGAGCTTTACTACTTTTTACGCGAAAAATATCGTTGCCGTGCAGACATTACTTTGTACAATTTTACGCAAGAAATTTCGAATCACGATAGCGCCGATATTTTACGTTATCTTGAAATATAATGAATTGAGAATGCAAGCAATTCGATATAAATCTAAATAAATCGATTAAATGATATAATCAATCT